AATTCGCAGAAAACGTATAGAAGCAACGAATGTGGAATATCTACTTGATTTTGGAAAGAGGGAGAATATTCCTCCTGTTGTTGCTAAACATGGAGTAAAATTTGAGGAGCCCTCTAGCGAGAGGAACAGGTACTGGTTGAGTGAAAGTCATGTCCCGTTGAGTCTTTTGAGGGCATATGAAGCCAAAGCAATAAATCGCTCACTTAAAAAGAAAGACAGCGAGGACAGCTCACCTAAAAAGAAGAAAGACACCAATGACCGCTCACGTAGAAAGAAGAAAGACACCGATGATCTTTCTAAGATGAGCGACTTCAGTCCCGAAAAGCCAAAAAGATCAAGATCAGTGTTTGATGACCTCCTAGAGAAAGCACAAAAACTGGAGGAAGCACAAAAACTAGAGGAAGCACAAAACCTCCTAGAGCAAGCACAAAAACTTCCCAGCAGGCTTTGCGGTCAGTGTTTCAAAACAGTAACTGCCAGGTATGTAATTAAGCCAAATGTTCATTTATTCATTTAAGTAAAGCAAGCAAGTCATTAAAATTTCATTGCAAAAGTGTCAGTTCTTTTTTCTTATCCACACTTATGTATTATAGTATGGATTTTGCCATGGTTCTTGTTCTTTGCATGTCTTGCTGATTAGGTATGCTGAGTCAGTTACACTTGCCTAACTATTCATCCCTACCTTTTGGATATAATTGTTCAGATAGTACTGTATTGTGTTTATCTGGCAATATCTAAAGAAAGTACTCCCTCCATAAAGAAATATAAGAGCGTTTAGATCACTACTATGCTGAGTCAGTTACACTTGCCTAACTATTCATCCCTACCTTTTGGATATAATTGTTCAGATAGTACTGTATTGTGTTTATCTGGCAATATCTAAAGAAAGTACTCCCTCCATAAAGGAATATGAGCGTTTAGATCACTACTTTAGTGATCTAAACGCTCTTATATTTCTTTACAGAGGAAGTAAGAAATTTCTTGCATGACTGGGTTTTGCTATGCCTGTTATTAGTATTTGATTTCTGAAGTCTAGGTGATTATCTCCCTCCCTCCCTGAGTGTGTACCAACTTTTGCGGTATGTACAACCATTGCCAATCTAGCCGATGTTGATATTCCTGTACAAGCTACACAGTTGAAATTGCTAATTATATTTAGCAAATACTTTGGCAAAAGTTATTGGTATAGGAATCAGCTTTTAGCATTTTGACTTCTCCTGCAAGGTCATATACTTTGCTTGAAAAAAAAATTGAACTGAAACTGGAAATACATTTCAGTAGCTTCTGCAGCTTGTTCTCAGTGTTGCCAATATATTCTCTGTTTTGTTGAATGGTACATTTTTTTTGGCTAGTTATTTGACTCTCTCCCTCTTTTTGTCTTCTGAACAGGGAAGCTGTGAACTGCAAATATTGTGAAGGTATTTACAAATTGCAAATATGCAGATTTTTTTTTCTTGTTACATATGTATCATTATAGTCCTTAAGACTGTCGAAGAAAATATATAGCCCTTATTTTGTTGTGTGTGTATGGGATATGCGTTTTATTTTTTGCGGGGCCTTATGTATGTCATATGATGAAAAAAAAGTTCAATTGTTAGGAATTTTTTAGGTGATCCATCATCAAGTATTAAGTTTGGCCTTTTACTTCTAATATTGATGCTTGGAGTTATACTGGGACTCAGCTGCAATATTCTCTTGTTCTATGCAGCACTTTTCCATAGAAAACATTTCAACGTTCCTAGAGGTGCTGTGGATACCGTCTATGTTTGCAACAAGTGCCTAGCTGAAAAGGTCGAGCCGGTGGTGTCTCCACAGAAAAAGGCAGCATCAAAGAAGAGCTCTCCGAAAAAGAAGCAGAAGAAGCAACTACGAAAGAGTTTAAGGAGAAGAAAACAGATAGTTATCAACCTCAAGAAGAAAACCAGACAGAAGAATGGCAAGCCTGGCCGGCCTAGAAAGAATCCATTGAGTGTGTCAAAGAATAAGTCACAAAAGATGTCTGACAGTCAACCATCAAATGAAGCCAAGAATGAACCGGTGAAACGCATATCAAAAAGGTTATATGATAAGTACATGAAAGGCAACTCAGATAAATCCGAGCATACAGCAAGCTGTCGTAAGAAGAAGAGGACAGCTTCGCATTACTCGTACTGGTTAGATGGTCTTCGATGGACACAGAACACAGCTGATGAACAGGCAACAAATTTTAGGAAAGCAAGAATTGTTTTTCCATCTGAAGATGTTAAGATTTCAGAAACCAGTCCAGTATGCTGTCTTTGTAAGAAATGCTACAGTGGAGATGCTATTTATATTGCTTGTGAGAATTGTGAAGGTAAGATATGTTTACTTTGATGGTAATGTTAAGAAAATGGTTTACTTCATGCTATGTATCTCCGTGATCTTCAAACAAACTTATAATTGTTCACTTTGACAATTGCATTGGCCAAAAACTCTTCATTATCATTTATTTTAGCCCTGGCCCTTACAAGTGAGCAACAGTTGACCCTTCAATATTTGTCGTGATCCTCCTAGAACAGTAATTATTACTTTCTTTTCCCATGGATTATGTCCTAAGCTATGTGACATATATCCTTTCCTAAGCTAACATTACTTTTGTCTCAGCAAGACAAACAATTGTTTTTGGAATTTGGCTGTGTATTTCATTCACTTCAATTGCTCCTCATACCATGGGAAGCTGTCATAGTTTAAATGATGCATTTCTGATTGCGCTGGTTCTTCCCTGCAGATTGGTTCCATGGGGATATATATTCTATTACCATAGAAAATGCCAATAATCTCATAGGCTTCAAGTGTCATGCATGCCGTCTGAGAGCTGTTCCTGTTTGTCCATATGCACAAGCTAATGCAATTCTTAAGGATCAATCAGACAGGGAAGACACCATTGATAGGTCTATAGAGGACAAGCACAGCAATTGTCCGAAAGATCTGTTCACTTCCAATGATCTGAAAGAGCTTCACACTCATAACATTGGGGAGCTCCAGAGTCATAGCATTGAGGAACAGGTTCCTGATAGTATTTGTTTGGAAGTGCTAGAAGATTATAATGATCTGAAAGAGTCAGACAGTCATAGCACTGAGAGAGAGCCAGTCAGTAATAACACTGAGAAAGAGCCAGGTAGTCATAGCACTGAGAAAGAGCTTGATGATTGTAATGGGTTAAAGGAGCTGGAGAGCCATAACAATATGGAAGAACTTGACAGTCACAGCACTGAGAAAGAGCTTGATGATTGTGATGGGTTAAAGGAGCCGGAGAGCCATAACAATATGGAAGAGCTTGACAGTCATAGTACTGAGAAAGAGCTTGATGATTGTAATGGGTTGAAGGAGCTGGAGAGCCATAACAACATGGAAGAGCTTGACAGTCATATCACTGAGAGGAGTCCTCATGATCATAATAATCTGAATGAGCTTGACAATCACTGGGGTGAGAAAAAGCTTGATGATTGTAACTGTCTGAGTGAACTTGGCAATCATAACAATGTGATAGATCTCAATGAGAACAGTCCAGAAGAGCTTGGCTGTACTGAAGATAGCAAATTTTCTGCAGGAGAAACACAATGTCTGAAAGAGCTGGACAAACTGAAAGATCTCGACAATCTTAACAGTAAAAAAGAGCTTGGTAATCACAACCATCTGGACAAGCTTGATCGCCATAGCAGTCTAAAGGAGCTTGAAAATCATAGTAGTGTGGAAGAGCTTGATAGTCATGACTACCCAAAAGAGCTTGATGATCAGAACCGTCTGAATGATCTTGGTAATCATAAAAATGATCTTGGTAATCATAAAAATCTAAAAGAGCTTCATAGTGCTCAAAATGGCCAAGTTACTGCAGTAACACATACAGATGGTTTAATAGATGAGCAGTTTAACACTAGAATATCTAACAAAGAAGCCATGATCATGACATCCGAAAGTGATTTGGTGAAGGAATCTATTGCTTTACAATCCAACGGTAGTTCCGTGGATAATATTGTTCCTGCTGAACTGGAGATGGATATTCAGGTTCCCCTGAGCTTATTGACTTTGTAGGATATATGTCAAAAGAGCAGTGCATTCCAGCATGACTTTCCGTGAGCTTGTACTGTTCAGTCTTGCTGCTGCTTTGGTAGAGAATTCCTTCTGATTAGCTTGGGTTGTTGAGCTACCTGACAGCTTAGTTTTGTGCTATAGGATATTACATTGGTGATGCAACCCAGTAATAATAATCTACAAAAAGGAAAAATATATGTTTGTGGATTCATCGTATTTTGGCCATTTCCTTAGGGAAATATGCTGACCTGACAAGCGCAGCATTGGAGCTATTGACTATGCCACCACAAGTGTTTATTATGGTTTTCATTCTTGGCTGAGCTGACATAGGAAATATCTGGGCCCCATTTCCTTCCCATGCTTTCTGGTCAGAACTTGTGATTCATGTTGCACTATGAGGTTACATGTTGATTGGGATGTCTTTGAGTACAAGTGACTGGTTTTTGGTTGTGCTGCACTTACTCATGATGCACAAGGTGGGCTCCAATTTTGTTTACGTATCTAATTTGTTTGTGTTGAATGTAAACATGTTTCATGCTGAAAAGAAATTAACATTTAACAATTTTCCTTTCCTGCTGTGATGATATAGTGATACACAGAACTAGATCCCATGTTTTTTTTTTGGTCTAGCAAAGGTTCACACTAAGCTCCTGTGCTGGGTCTATCATGTTCTTAGCAATAGGCCAAAAGTGATGAAAATACTGCTGCAGGAATATCATAGTGCTAGTTTTACATGTATGGTTTTTGTTACCATTATGGGCTCATTAAGGCCAAAGAATGAGTTACGAGTACCATATCATGTTGAAGCAGTGGGAGCTCGTGTTGTTCCTCTGACAATTCAGTGGTTAACATTTATCCATATCATATCAAATCATCAAGCTGGTAAATCCACGGCATGTTCTTCCTATAGCAGATTGTTTCTCCAGCTGGCACTCACCTATGTATCTGATCTAGTTCATTCTCCTTGTGAACAGGATGGAGACATAGACGAACCACTTGCTACCGCCGTCGAGCACGAGGCCTTCCCATTCTCCAGACCTCCCTAGTGCACCCATAGATGGTGCACCAGACTGACCAGTCGACCTGACGTTCCATTTTAAGTGTTCCCCAGTGCTTCTAACAGCGTTCCAATGCAAGCGCAACCCGGCCATGCCGCGGAGCAATTCATGTCAACATCCTTGATCTTATTTTGTATACATAGGGTTCCTTTAGGTTTTATTAGGGGAGATGCTCATGCAGTGTGACTGTCAGATTCAGAAGGGTAGTAGAACGCTGCTGTTACGGTGCTTGCTGGTTCAGTTCTGGTTTAGCGAGGCTGCCAGCATTCCTAGATGTAAAAATCTAGTTGTCAGATCAAGTTTCAGTGCCTTGCCGCAGTGAATTGCTGCACTCTGGGTGGTTTTGGGTGAGGCGCTGTGTTTTTCCTCTGCCCAGCAGCTATTTGGGGAGCGGTGGTGTCCCGTCTGTGTTCCTTCCAACTCCTGAGTTCAGAACGAAAGGAATGGCCGGCAGAGGTGCCTCATCATCATGGTGCTGGTGGTGGTGACGGCGGTGCTGGTCTGCAATGGTTTCGCTGACTTTGAACTGCCGCGACCGTCGGGGTGTTCAGTGCACGGTGATGACTTGCTGCGTCAAAGTAAAAAAACTCGTCGGTTGGCTGGTGACGACGGTGACGGTTTTAGCAGGCGTCGCTGTGTGAAGCTTACTGCTTCCTCTACAAAATGAGCCAGCAGAGCTCTCATGCATCCTTGCTTCGCCAAAACTTTTGCTGAGAACTGTCGTTGGTGTCTTGCCGTCGGAGCGTGGGCTCATCATCATCATCATCACCGGAGGTGCCTGCGGTGCACCGATCTCTGACAAACGCCGGCGGTTGCACCGGTCTCATCCTCACCTGAAAACATCTCCTCTGGATCACCCACCGTGCGCACTGCGCAGGCAGCCTTTGGGCTATGTTTTCTGATGGTGCATGTGCAGGGTAGAATCGCCAACCTCTTTCGAACCACTCCCCGGCCGGCGGGTTGCCATGAGTGACACGCATTCCGTCGCAGATTGATTGATTGAGTATAGTATCTAACCTGGCGTCACCTTCGACCATCAATCATAGCCCCGTCCGGCCGGTCGGCACCCTCATTCGCCACCCCTCGTCGCCGGTCTCCATCCATCCCAAAAGACGAAAGCGACGCGCACGACGGTCGACAGCCACCCAATCGAACGTACCGCGTACGTACCTACGTACTTCATGACAAACAAAGTACTCCTCCAGCAAAGCAGCCATGCTTCTGCCACTTCACTCCATATCACGGCCCCGTTTCCCCGTCGGCCCGGCCCGAACCCATCCAACCGCACTGCTCCTGCACTGTAGGGTAACCTCGATGATACGATGAATTATGAGAGCAACGAACGGCTGTGGAATTATTAAGCCAGCCGGTGGTTGGCACCACACCGTCACATGGTGGCATGGCAGCAGCTAGCAGTGCCTGGAAGGCTGGACGGGCAGCAGTGATGGCGCGCTCACATGACTCCTGTGATCGCCCGGAGCCGCGTCCTGCGCGTACGGAACCAATCAGTGCAAAACGTGATGACTTTGTTTCCCGTTCACTGCCCGCACAACGTACCGTCAGGTACCAGACGTACGCTTGAACGAAGGGGGTAAATCATGCCCCACTCCACACATCCTGTATGGGACCGCCATTTAAGGCCTCTTTAAACACATAATCCAAATGTTATGTTCTTCCATTTCAATCTTACACGATTTTATCCTTTTATCGCGCCACATAAAAAAACAAAGGATTCTTTTTAAGAGTTTCAAAATCTTACCAAAATGCTTGGAATCGAAGAGCCTTCGGTTATGGTAAGACTCAAGCGACTGTAAACTAGTGAGATCGCACGCGATTTTGTGGACTGTGCGATTCATTCGTTCATGCTCATCGAGCGTGAAACGATGGCAATGCAGATGCAAGGACTCATCGTGTGGGGATTGGTGTTTCGGGCGCCTGAGATGATGACTTAGGTGGCGGCACGACTCATGGAGTTTGGGTGAGGGTGGAGCAGTAAGATGCAATGTGGTAGTGGTGTCCGCCACGGTTTAACATTTTGGCAAACAATTATTTTTCGAACCTGACCAAAGCATATTGAATTCAGAAATTTTAGAAGTTACTTTTTTTGGAATTTGATCCATATCAATATTCACTTATTTCTAATGGATTTTGATCAATAGGGAATTTGTTTTCAAATTGTTTTCAATCTCGCCCAAATGGCACCCGCCAAAATTACTGAAATTCTTTCAACTTTTGTTGAGATTTAAAACGTTGGTGACGGTTGTAGGTGGGGACGATAGCACTAATTTGGTAAGAGTGAGGGTGACTCAAGGTTGAAGAAGCGGGAGGATCCATGAAACTGAGATCCAATGATGTTCTCCTAAGAGTAAAATACAACACAAGTCCTGAAACTACTCGAAGGGGGTCAAGTTAGTTCTAATTCTATGAAAATGCATACCTAGGTCATAAAAGTTTGCTAAGTGTGTCACCACGGTCCTATCTGTGCTACATAAACTTTTACTTGCACAAGTGGCAATTTGACTACTGCCATGTGG